AAGATTTAGTGTTCTGTCTGACGACAGGTCCATATGAACAGGATCCTTCCATCCTTTTCTCGGACTGGGACCTGTTCATATACGTTCTTGGCAGATGATCCAGAAGTGGTTTGCCATTGCCTTCTTCTGTGTGTGAATGGAGTAACCGGGGAAGCCCCCGGAGGAAAACTCCGTGTTGCCTAGACCACGGCCTTGCCCAATACAAGTTATAAATTCGGGCACCGCCGGGAATCGAACCCGAGACCCCAGGATTACAAGGTCAGCGTTATAACCGCTAGACCACCGTGGCGGTTGCTCCCGAGAATACACAACAAAAATTATGAAAATCGCCTCTAACAGCTGGACACTGCTTAACAAGGAAACTGAAATAAAAAATAATACAATTTAAGCAAACAATTATCCACAAATATTTAATTTTCTGTTCATATTATTTTTCTCTTCGCCGTGGGCACTTTCTGAAAACATTCCGAGGAGTAAGATACGCGTCACAAGAGGGGGGGGGGGGGTTAATAAAAAAAAATAATGTAGAATTTTGAAGTGGAAACTTATTTGGAGCCAACCACTTTTTAAAGATGGGAAAATTATACTGAACCAGAACGTGCACCTTAGAATATCTATTATAATATTAAAAAACAGGCGGTAACATAGAAGGAAAACGAATGAAGCCGTAAGGCCTGATCGGTCACAAGATATAGAATGGAAAATTAGGTTTTTACCTCTTCCACTGGTGTAGGAGAACCATGCCATGAATGAGAGAGAAATCTTGGTCGTCTCCTACTTTCGGAGCGCTCCCTTGCAATGGCCACTTCGTCCGTCTTTCTCGAAATTACTATAAATTTCAACATGACGCCGTTCTACCCTCGTCATTCAAGTTTATAATAAACAGGTATTGTTTTCCTTCGCCGCACCAGCAATAAACAGCTAGGCCGACTGTATTCATCAGTCCATTTCTTTTACAACTCTCTCTCTCTCAGATCTGCGTCTCTCTGCGGGTGTCTTCTTGATACTTTCACTGCAGCATCGCCATTATGTCAGAAGCCAACAATTATTTTGTCATCTTCCACCACACAAAAGGGATGTCAAATATATACAATGCGTCTAAAAATGGAGACAGACAATGCAGCTAGTCCAACGAAGCCAACTCGATTCCAATGAAAATGTCAAAACACAGAAATGAGATAGTCTGTCGTGATGTCTTAGAGCAATCGAGTGTAGTGTTCGCAGGTCTATATAAATTCAAGAGGCAATTTTTTTTCTTTAAGTTGAACAGAAAAAAAAATCAGTGGCGCAGAGAGACAAAAACGCCTACTCACAAAGCTGTAAAAGTTGGGTTATGACCCCTAATAAT